GATTTGCATCAGTAGGCTTTTTATAGGCTTTAAGTGGATCATTAATCGCATTGACCACTATCGGAACAACCGGAATGCCCCCAGGAAACCATAAGTAGAGGACAATTTCATTTTTACACCAAAACATGCCGTTTGACAGCTCGTTCTCCATGGTTTTGCATCAGTAGGCTTTCTATAAAGTTGAATTGGATCATTAATTACATTGGCCGCCTCGGAACCACCGAAATGCGGGCGCACGGCATGTTTAGGTGTAAAAATGTAATTTTCCCCTACTACAGGTTCCCCCGGGAGTACTCCAGTGGTTCCGGAAGTGGTCAATGTAGTCAATGATCCATTTAAAGTCCATAGAAAGCCTACGGATAAAAAACCACGAAGAAAGAGGTGTTGTACGGCATGTTTTGGTGTAATAATGCAATTGTCCTCTACTACAGGTTCCCCCGGGGGTAGTTCGGTGGTTCCGGAAGTGGCCAATGTGGTCAATGATCCATTCAAAGTCTATAGAAAGCCTACTGATGAAAAACCATGAAGAAAGAGGTGTCGCATGGCATGTTTTGGTGTATAAATGAAATTGTACCCTACTTCAGGTTCCCCGGGGGTACTTCGGTGGTTCCGGAAGTGGCCAATGTGGTCAATAATCCATTTAAAGTCTTAATAAATCCTACTGATGAAAAAACATGAAGAAAGAGGTGTCACACGGCATGATTTTTGTAAAAATGAATTTGTCCCCTACTACAGGTTCCCCCGAGGGCACTCCGGTGGTTCCGGAAGTGGCCAATGTAGTCAATGATCCATTCAAAGTCTATAGAAAGCCTATTGGTAAAAAAAAACTATGAAGAAAGAGGTGTCGCACGGCATGTTTTGAGTGAATGAAAGAACTGACCGCACTCAGAACCCTCCTTCAGGACCGATCCAGGGAAATGGCCATATCTTTGTTGATTCTGAGCCGATTTTAGCTCTTGGTACGTCATTTGCTTTGGAAATGGTTCTATTTTTGGCGTATGAACAAAAAACACAGATTAGTAACGGACACCCTGAGAAAAACTCATCACAAATTTAGCAATTTAGACATGCCCTTAAGAAACCCGAAATATCTCCGGTATCCGGTAACCATGGTCACTTCCATTGCCCCAACATAAAACTTGATTAGTTTTCTAGTCGAATGTTTCTTGAAGATTAAAAATCGAACAATATTTCACGAAGTTACAACAGTCCAAAGTTGGACAAAATTTTGCTAGTACCCTATATTTCTCACAACCCCTGTATGTAGTACTTTGCATACGTATAGGACAAAATAAATTATGTTAACAGAGTCTAAAGAAGCACTTAATGAGGAGGGGTAAGTAAACTGAATTCAAGATTTTTAAAACATCAAATAAAAGGTCGCAGCGCTAAAGTATCCAACAGAAGCCTCTAGTGATGTAATTTGTGGATAAAACTATATGCAATACATGTAAATTTAAGTAAACATGTGTTTGATTCCTTTATTTATTTTTGTAGTTCGCTGATGAATGATGATGAAACGAAGATTTATTATCCTGAAAAGTTCTGTAAACATACTTCTTTCAGTTTAAGTTAATACATATTTTTCGTTTTTGCAAAATGTTGATTCAGTTATTTGGTATACATTACTTTACACAACGAAACATGTTTTGTGTGCAATTATTACTGAAATAGCTTGTTTGGTTAATGTCAGAATACGTGTCTATTAATTATAAATGTAATTTTTATCAATAGACAAGGCTACAATTGTAAACAACATGCTTGAAAAACCATGAGGCCTCCTTTAGCTCAGTCAGTAAAAGCGCTGCTACAAAGTTAGACCATGCAGGAGGTGGTTGGATTTTATTCCCAGTCCGGTCTAGACATTTTTCGTATTGGAAAATTTCTAGTCACACAATTATACTAATGCATAAATGGTACAGGCATCGATAACTCTCAATTGATAACTGCGGAACTGCATCTAGAACACTAATTTGAGAGCATGCAATAAGCAGTAAGCTTTAAATGCGGCAAAGCAAAAGAAGAAGAATAAGAAAAGTAAGAAGAAGAAGAAATCTCGTAAAGAAGCGATAACATTGAATTCAAACACATTGTTTTGATAGGTCTCACTTGCCCCGAGCCATGCAATGTACCGTGACTTCTGGGATTCATGTACTATTGCAAACTATCTAAAACATGTAATCTTATTCGTTTAATTTAATAAATTTACTAATAATGATCAACTGATGCCAGCAAAACTGGCCTAGGTTTACAAAATGGTTTACAAATAGAGATGAGTGCAGTAACTTTATTCGATAATTTAAAGTGACAGGTTAGTTAATAGTATTTCCGCCTGACGGGGATGAAAACAATAATCATTTTATTGTACACCTACAATGTAACCGGTAGCACACGCAAATTTTACATGTACTCTAGGAAACCAGCCGGTTGTAAGGTGTGATAAAATTAGGGACTTAGGAGTAATTCTTGAATCGAAGTAGACATTTGTAGATCATGTGATTTAAATATCTCAAAAAGCAAATAATATGTTGGGATTCATAAAAAGATTTATTTATCATTTTAAAGACACATATACCATCAAAACACTTTATATAGCTTACGTGAGATCAATTCTTGAATATTGGAATGTAGTTTAGGCTCCATACCATGATACTTATATAAATCGTATAGAATCAGTTAAAATACAATTTTTGTTATTTGCTCCTAAGAAACTAGAATGGACCCCTTTTCCTCTTCCTTCTTATGAGTCCCGTTGCATGTTGATAAACATTGAAACACTTAAGAAACTAAGAGTACCATCACGCATGTTAAGAACTCGAAATGTATTTCAACTGTCACCTCACAGAACCAATCATGGTAAAAATGGACTATTATGATGAGAGTGTATAATAATTATTGTGAGCGTATAGATCTAACTATGTCTAAGAGGCCTCCCTTAGCTCAGTCGGTAAAGGCGCAGCTACAAAGCAAGACCATGCTGGAGGTAGCTGGGTTCAATTCCCGGTTCGGTCTAGGAATTTTTCGGGTTGGAAAATTTCTCGACTTCCCTGGGCATAGAAGTATGATTGGACTTGCCACACAATTATACCAATGCGAAAATGGTACAGGCATCGAAAGCTCTCAATTAATAACTGTGGAAGTGCATCTAGAACACTAAGTTGAGAGCACGCAATAAGCTAATATGCGATATGCAATAAGCTTGAAATTCGAAGAAGAAGAAGAAGAAGAAGAAGAAGAAGAAGAAGAAGAAGAAGAAGAAGCTGTCTTAAAATAAAGTAAGGAGAACACTAACTGCTAGGCTTTCATCTCGTTAAGTTTAAAGCAATTTTTATTTCCTAGATATTTGTACATGTAGTCTACATTGATTGATAATTTCAAATAAAACGTATGTTTTAAAACAGCATGTAAGGCAACAGCGCTATTGTAAAATGGTCTACACTGATTGACGACATATAAATAATTATAGTCACTTTATTTATAGTCTGGCGGATAAAAAACCTTGCGAACTAACAACTTTATAGTTGGCAATAAAAATCTGGCACTTTGTGAAAATGCTCAAGCCATTGCAGGCCGTTCAGAGCATTAATATGTTTTTATCTTCGCAATAGCAATGCTAACAGTTATATGCGGAATAGCAGGAAATATTTGCAAAATAAAATATCGATCCATTTGTTCTTTTAAACGCGTACTTTGCAATGCATGGTCCGACCCTTGAAATTCCTGTTAACAAGAGTTATATCCACCATTCTCACTTAACCTGTATTCTCACTTTCCCTGGTGTACTTTACGTATTTGATAATTTCTCCAACTGGAGCCTAAGTCTGATTGGTATTGTGGCTGTACGAGAAAGCCAAAACCGTATTAACTTTTAACCAACAGCAATCTGAAACGATCTATACGGTTATTTAAAACCGTTAAAAAATTTATAATCAATCTGATAATAAAAACTATAATAACTATTCTACTGTTCTGTGCAATTGAAATGCATGTATACCGATGAGGACATAATTAAGCAACAATCGAATTGACAATAATGCAAATTTGCTTGGCATAATTTAAACAATGTTAATTGTTGGTTTCTATTCAAATTCGCTACCTAGTTCATCTGAAATAGCTGCCCTACTTAAGTCTCTCCTATCACGTTCATGAAAATGTCTACCACTCCATTTCAATCACCTATTTTTATCGCTACCACATTATAGAATGGCACTCTGGTTAGATCTGACATGGAGCTGTTTTTCGGTTGACGTTGTCATCCCTCATCTCACACAGAATGAGACCAACGTAAGCTGTGCATTTTGGACCATTATATCTATTAGCCACAGGCGGATAAAATGGAAAATCGCTGTTAAGTAAAGTGAATCGTTTTGTGTAGCTCGAAGAAGGTTGGTATAACAATATCTACATGGTGTACAATATACACTCTACTAGGCCATTCCAGAGAATCCCACCGAATGTCTAAACCAGCGAGAACGGGAACCGTGGTTGGATTGCTGTGAATTATTAATGCACAGCAGATTTCTGATATCCATTGATCATGAATAATTTTTCAGATCTGCCAGAAAATGGCTCGTTCCGAAATCAGACAGGCGAACCGTTATCGTTTGCTTTCCAGATCGTGAATCGCACCATATCCGCCCTCCTCAACTCCATAAGAGAAAGCGCATTTTAAAGCAAAAGGCACATGTTGTTGTCAATTGCCGTGAAAGGATAACTTTTATATCCTCACCGTTGTAGGTAGTCTACTTTACAGGATTAGATATTCCTCACAGTTGGTTGAATAAAGGATTATAGAAACAAAAACGTTTTGTTTTATTGTTCGTTCGGAGAACCTTTGGCTGCTGCTGGTGCTGCTCTTTGCTCAAGTTTTCACGAGAGAAAACTTGTCTATGTGTTTTTCGTTTGTTCAAGTGCACAAAAAATGGTATACTGTCAAGAAACTAGAAGACTGCTGCAGCATATGGAAAAGCGATTACTTGCTACAAATGGCTCCTACTTACCTCTTAAAACTTGCGAACAAACATCACACGGTGTTATCTTCTTATACGTATACTCCTGCAGATTATGGTTATCCGATCCGTCGAACCGTATCTGAGCACCATTTCCGCTCTTCCTGCAAGATGGTAGAAGCGAGTATTGCATTATAATTTGTCTAATTAGAGTGCAGTTTGGCAAAAGGAATGTGCCACATGTGGTGACTTTACTTTTGGGGGTACGGGGTAAAAACGTATACGTGATGAAATGCGGATAGACGTACTGCAAAACGTGTTGAAAAGGATATTTTATGTATATACAATAGTAAGTTTCAGCAAAGTCATTGCGTCTTACCCATTAACACAGACTGTTCCTTACACATAACGCTGGATTTAGAAACGATGGGATTATGTTACAAAGATTGATATTGAGCAAAAACAACTTCGATTTAGCACATGTAGGTTGTGTATGTTACGTGATATTTAACCAATAGCTTGTACTTGTATGTAAGGTGATTGAATTACGCATCCACAATAACAACCTTGGCTAAAGTGTATAGCTTTCATAATATATACAAACATCCATAAGCTTAAATATCCTAAATAAATTAACTGAAAACGCTTACAGAGTACACGAATAAAATATTGGGTTGATGGGTTAGTTTTATTTGAACTTCAATTTATTTGATTAAATCTTGACATATTGTGAACCATAAACTTCCAGCAGTCACAGTTAAAATCAATCGAAAAAATAGTTGAAATTTAATTCTAAAAGATCCGGTTGATGGATGTATTCCTTGACCAAAGCTTTCCTCTTGTTATGGAAAAGAACAACTAAAAAATAATAAAAGATTTTCAAAACCGACATGTTTCAATACATAGTAATTTCCCAAAATTGTCAGCCCTCTGCGCATCAGACTTTTATCTTCCAATCATTTCTCATAGCCGTAATTTCAAATCTTTCGCATTTATTTTCAAGATGGATGCTTTCCATGGTTATTTTACCCCGCTAGGCTTGTTTTAACTGAAAAAGCAAATTATCAGGTGTAAACGCCATAATTCATCCTTCAATCGAAGACATCATATCCAGAAGACTGGCAACTTTGCCAGAATCCAAGCGACAGATACAGTAGCGCTTCGCTTGAGTGAAGGTGGAAGCAACGCATAGAAAAATGAGCAAATACATAAACCTTTCTTCTGAGGATGTAATCTTTGCTATCAAATTCGTTCGAAGCATTTACCTTTGAGCGGCAGATGACGCGAATGTACCTGTCTCATAGCGTTCGTACCAGTAAATGGAAGAGTTGCCAGTCTTCTTAATATGATGTCTTCGTTTCAATGGTTGTTGAACTGTTTTTTCTGTTCTTTTTCAAAATGTCATTTCTAGGGAAACCCAATAACTTTCGCAAGCATTGAAACAGACCATGTTAAGTTATTCAAGTGATTGTGTACAATACATACTACTAAAAAGTCATGACATAAGTATCAGTGGAAAGAAACGAGAAAATCAATTCAATCAAACGTTCACTTCGTCAAGTTGCTTATATTTCGGTTTCTTCTTCTTTCCTTTATTTATCATTGGTATCTGTTCCACAATCTAATGCCAATCACCGACGGACATCGATTACCATCCACACCTGCCTAGGATATCGCACCCATTCAACACACATGGACTGCACATTACGTAAAAGTCATGTAAATTTCCGTGCCCTGCCTGAGATCGACACATGCAAGCGGCCCAAATGACATAAGAATCACTTGAAAGTAACGAGAAAATCAATTCAATCAAGCGTATTTTTCGTCGAGTTGCGTATGTTATGGTTTGGGAACACTTAATTTTACATGACATGTTTTTTTACGCTCCATAATTTACCTCTAAGATGGATTACATCTCGTGTAAAATACTTATTTCTAAGTGTGTGGAGAGATTTTTTCTGCCTCAGAAAAATTCCACCGACCTCGGCTGGGGTTGAACCCAGACCCATTGGGGTGAGAAAGTTGTCACGCTTACCACTACAACCTCAGTGAACCAGAAAGACAAGACATTTACTAACCAAACATACATTTTCAGTTATCTTAGCAATACTAGTGTTCGGGCTGCTTTTAAAATCTACACAGCAAAAAAATAATTTTGATATCACATCAAAGTGGATGCACTACAATCATGTCGAAAATTTCATGTAATTTTTATGATCACATAAATAAACAAATGCAGTAAAAGCAGCGTAATGTCAGTTCATGCATTGTATTAATGATAATTTTGTCCTTTTTAGCAAGTAATATTACATCATATTTTCGACATGATTGTAGTGCATCCACTTTGACGTGATATCAAAATTATTTTTTTGCTGTGTACGTGATAACAGAAAAAAGTTATATTGAAAAAAAAAAAAAATCAGGGGAAGAAATATAAAATACATACTAAGAAATAACTAATTACACGAGACGTAATCTTTATAGCACGTAAATCATGGAACGTAACAAACATTTCACGTAAAATTAAGTGTTCTCAAACCGAAACATAAGCAACTCGACGAATTTTGAATTAGTTTAAATTGATTTTCTCGTTTCATTCAACTGATTCTTTTGTCAAAAGAGTCGCTTACATGTGTCGGTCTCAGGGAACTGAAATTTATATGATTTTTTAGTTGTGTGCATATACCAATCGACTCAGCTTGAGGAGATCGCAATGATAGCGGAAAAGCCCGACCTGAGTATGCCTAGGGGAAGGAAACTAGTTAAAGCCAAATTGACTCTGGTTAGACATCTTGGCGTCATTTGTGACAACTGTCAAACCTTGCCGCTATCGTTCCTCTTCCACCCACATTCCTCTTCCTATAATCTGGATCCCCCCGGGTTACGGGGAGATGACTACCTCGAGGGTTCGTCATATGGTTGATTCCGCCCTCGTTTTTGTAGAACATGTACATCAACTGCTTCGTGCAGTCTCTGGCTCCATTTTCTGCACAGATCACATCAGGGCCTTTGCAGTTTCTCGCCTGGTGACAGAAACCCATCTCTCTAGGTGCTTGGTAGCCCAAAGGGTGGCTTTCAGGAGTACACTGCCCACCCAACTTTAACTTTGTCGTCTGCGTGCCACCGTACGCTTTCCTCATCTGAATTGTCTACCTTCAACGCTCTTCTTAGCTCATCTTTTATTGTGATCACGTACACTTGATCGCACGAGGGATCCTTGGGCGTCACTTTTGCCTTATCCAACTCTCTGAGCCAATATCACCACTCGGTACGTAGTCAGCTATTGTTGCCATAGTTATCCTTGCAAGCACGGAGGCCATGTCAGGTTGACACAGTCCTTTGAGGACATTTTAAGATTTAAATTTATTTCTTTATGGTTTTTCATACGTAGGCTTTCTGTAGACTTTAAATGCATCATTGACCACTTCCGGAGTCACCGAAGTGCCCTCGCGGCAACCTGTAGTAGGGGACAATTTCATTTTTACACCAAAATATGCCGTGAGGCACCCGTTTCTTCATAGTTTTTCATCAGTAGGCTTTTTATAGACATTGAATGGATCATTGGCCACTTCAGGAACCACCAAAGTACCCCTGGGGAACCTACAGTAGGAGACAATATCATGATTACACCAAATTACGCCATACGACACCTCTTTCTTCATGGTTTTTCATCCATAGGCTTTCTGCAGACTTTAAATGGATTATTGACTACATTGACCACTTCCGGAACCACCGGAGTACCCCGGGGGGAACCTGTAGTAGAAGACAATTGCATTTTTACACCAAAACATGCCGTGCGACAGAATTTTCTTCATGGTTTTGCATCAGTAGGCTTTCTATAAAGTTGAATTGGATCATTAATCAATAGTTTCTCCTCCTGGAATGCCAAAACAAAGGTACTCACAGGCACTCACGACGGCCATTCATAATCGCAAATTACTGGATAGACTTGAATTGGATCATTACCCACATTGGCTGCTCGTGGAACTACCAGGATGCCTCGGGGGTCATGTTACACATACAGTGGCATACATATTCAAAACCCAGATCAATGGAAATTATTTGGAGATGCCGGAATCACACTGGTTCCGCCAAGTTTGTTTTGGTGAAACCTCCGGAGAAGTGGTTTGAGTTTATACAACGCATCCAACTGAGTTGGCATGTACTGAACAAGATTATGTAACGTTTTGACATTATAAAAAAAAATCGGATACACTGATAAAAATTCAGTAATACTATCAAGAAAAAAGTGTGGATGGGCCCAATCTTAGATCCATAGGCCAACATTAGAGCCATTTCCCCTATTACTATTTCTTCAAAACCTATTTAATCTATAATCTATATAATTCAATATAAATCACTCTACGAGACCACATTGTGCAGCTCGAAATGAAAACTTCTCTGAAGATACCGAATTGATTAAAATTCTTCTTAATGTATTTTTTCCCTGAAATTTGCCCTTCTGTACTTTTCAACACTGTTATTTTAGCTAGAAAAAGTAGGCCATTGTGTTATTCAAAAGAGTGTTGAAAAGTAGCACGTTTTAGCGGCGCCGGTGGTGTAGTGGTAAGCGTGATTGCCTCTCACCCCAAAAGGCCTGGGTTCGATCCCAGTCGGCGCTGCCGGGATTTTCTGAGGCATAACATCTCTGATCACGTCTTCCTTCGGAAGGGAAGTAAAGCCGTTGGTCCCCGGTCCATGAGTTGATGGGTCGATAAGTAGGGTTCAGGTGTGGGAGCTGCCTTCCTGGCGTCGGTAGTATTGGTACTCAGTACGGAATAAGTATTTTGAAAACAAATAATTTTCCGTGCAAACATTAACTTTTTCTCAGAGACGTATAATGGAAATTTATTTTGATATAGGGTTTAGAACGTTTATTTAAATTTTACGTATTCGTACCGTTTTGAGAAAACCTTGCTACCGGGATTAGACACTGCAACTATTATATAAACCTGTTCAGCTATAAAAGAGAACGAATATTGTCAATTGTGTCTTTATTCATTGTATATTGTGCTGATGAAGAAAATATTGATATAATCTACAGCAGATGTAAGTTGAAGTCTTACAAACCAACTATGTCTCCGAATTCGTTCACGAGGATGCAATAAATATGAAAAGGGAAATTCAATTTCCCTACAGAAGAGTCAGAGAGAAACATGCATATGAAACGGTTTTGTCATTAATTTTAATGAACGTGAGACGACAACACTCACATTTCCAATGGTATTGTTCCGATCACATATTCCCTGTCCCCTAAAGAATAATAACGAGCGAATAAAATTCACCCTGATATTTCTCCGTCCTCTACACGATTCCTCTGATATGCTGTTCCTCTGGCAAAACAGAGAGAAGGATACATCATTCAGCTCAAATATTTGGATCCTACAATATCAGTCAAGAGTATTGAGTAAGCTTCTATCGATTTCCCTGATGATCGATCAAACTGGTCCTTATTTATAAATGTGGTAATTATCACTTTGGAGGGTGATTCATGTTTTGGATATTTAATTCTAGCACAATGTTTTATTACCATGCGTATTATCATAATAAAGAAATTATTTATAACCGTGCACATAGTTGCTATGTAAGTATAGTTCTGTTGATAATTTTTGTTTGTTCTGATCGAAATTTTCGGCTAGCTACTTGTAAAAACATTATGCCATTATAATTTGATATGTATATTAGTATATAGGAGGACACCCTAGAAGAGCAAGCAATTCTGTGCAATCTATATATGGTACAGCGGGGTAAATGTTGCTTTAATTGAATTAACTAATAGTTCGAAATAATTGTTCATTAGATAAAAAATTCTATGAAATAGTTGAGACATATTCTGTGACGTCAAAATGCTTCTCCCGTATTAATTTACCCCGGTGTACCTTATGTATATCTAGCGAAATTCAATATTTACAGAGATAATATCGGTTGTGGCTGTTTGCACAGTTTCAATTTGGTTACGTTTAGGTAGTAAATATCTATTTCAGACATAATTAATTTATTCGCACGCTACGGTGCCCTAGAGTGCGGCACCATTTCGGCATACCTCACTTCACTTCGACACACTCCCATTAAATAAGTTTTCCGACATACCCGTACCATTTTTTTTTCAGCATTCGTAATTTAACTCGTGATCAAAGAATGTGATGCATGAATGTTGGGTGTAACTGTTTGTCTTCATTGTTTTTGACGCGTATGACAGAAATGGATCCTATATGCCAAAGTAGTGCTACACCCTATTTGCTATGTGGGATGATTTACTTATTTATCATTTCGTTGCCTATTGTCGTAAGGGAAGAGAAGGGGATAAGTGAAGCCCCTGAGCGCAAACATTTTCGCATCCTTTTGTCCTGCAACTTGGTGGAAATAGTGAGTGCTCCTGGACTTCATTTATTTTTTTTTAACTAAAATAGGTGTAGAAACTGAAGAAAACATATTTTTCCAAGTTTAATAGTGTTTATGTCTATGTGGCTAGCATAAGATTCATTCTGAAAGCGATTTAAATATTTACCATAGAAATATGCACACATACACACATTTGTTTATTATCATACTTTTATGTATTGGACACACAGCTATTAAATACTACAAACACTAAAAAAGGTATGGGTTAATATGCAATAAGATCAAGCAAACTAATGTCTTGAAAAGGTGTGTTACCTCAAGGTTAATACCGTTGATACTGCGTGGTACATTTGGTTTGTTTTAGGTGTACTATTTGTTTGACTTTTAATTGATGAAAAGCAAAAAAGAAAGCACGGAAAATCATAATTATTTTACATCAGATGCGCTGCTAGAGAGAATCAAATTTATTATATTAAACATGTTTAACGGTGATTAATAGATAATCTGCTACAATTGCTTGGGTTTCCATTTATATAAATCTTTCAAAATCTTGTAAGTACATTATCTGAAAAAAAAATATTCAAAATATGCCAAAGCTATAAATAATTATGATGAAATGCTTTCAATCGTGAGCCTACACTTTGGTGGTATGAGAACTATACGAGATAAGAACAAACAGAAATATTTCTTGAGTTTTCGTTGTTTACAGTATCAGAGCCGCATCCATGTTCCGATGCATGGGAGGGCAAATTATGGACAAAATTCTTGTGGTCTGCTATTTACTACAAGAAATTATGATTTAGCGTATATTCTACACTTGTCAAATGTATTTTTAACGTTCCCGTTTATTTATGTAATCTAAGTTGAAATCTTGATTCTAGTCACACTGTTCCAAACCAACAAAAGTAGGGGCCCAGCATATAGTTAGAATCCATGCCACGCACATAATGGATAAGTAATTATTTCGTTCAGAGACTAAAGTTTTACGCTCTAGAGGTGAAAGATTTTCTAGACATGAACATAACTCTTGACCTATTCTTTTAAAGTTGCATGAACAGCCACTAGCTGCCTCAGAGATCTTGAGAGTCTCCTATGCTCTGCAACTGTTCCAAAAGAGGCACATAATTTTTCCACATAGCAATGGTTCGCACTCTTTGAATAAATCATGTTGTCTGCCCTAATAAGAAATAGCACTTCTACGCTATAAAATAGAAAATGTGCCCATAAAAAATGCAACGGCAAAACGAAAAAAAAATACATCGAAAATGTCAATTGTATCATAAAATCAAGGCAGTTTTACCCATAAACAAAGTAATATGTGCCCATAAATAAAGAAATAATGGTATTTGTAGCCATACATTAAGGCATAAGTATCTATAAACTTCGGAAAAAATCGCGGAGACGAACCAGCCCAGGGCTGAAAGTCTCCTTAATAAAGATAAAAAAAAAACATTGAAAAAATATCCTTTCCTTTACCGCGTAGCTACTCAGCTGCCCGTATTTTTTTTTAAGTCAAAGGGCGAAGCGAAGGACATACGTCCAGGATAAGCTTCTACAAGGGAAGTCTAAAGAAAAAATTTCTTAAAGAGAAGTGTACCACCCCAAAATAATTTTTTTTTCGGCACGTTTTTATTTTTCTAAATTTAATGAGAAAAATTATCAACATTCCAAGAAAATCAGATTTTTTTTTCTAGATTCTAAAGAAAATTTACATGAAAACATATTTTTTCTATCTCATTATGAAAAAAAAAATGGACGCTTAGCGAAACCGAAAAGTTGTTTTTTCTAGGTTTTTTGAGTCCAATTTTATGCCATGATGACTTACAAAAATATCTTTGCACGTAAATTTTCTTTAAAAAATAGAAAAAATGTGATTTTTTTTAGATTTTTTATATTTTTTTCAAATATTTTTAGTAAAAATCAGAAAGTAACTATTTTTTCGGAGCGGTAAACTTCCCCTTAAGGGGTAAGTTTTCCATTTTAAGCTGTGTCTCGAAAACTATCCTACTGAAATTTTTTGGACTGCATTTTTGGATTCAGCGCACGATTTTTAATAAGAATCATCGTTCAAAGATTCATGTTAATTTTTTAAACTTTTATTTGTAGTCATCATGACATAAAGTTTGTCATAAAAATCATCGACTTTTCGCTTTTGCTGAGGGTCCAATTTTTTTCCATGATGAGATAAAAACGATATTTTTACATGTAAATAAGGAATGAAAGGAATGATTTTCTTGGATTTTTGATAATTTTTCCCAATATTTAAAAAAAAATATTTCTGGAGCAGTAAACTTCACTTCAAGAAGCTTCTAAAGAAGCATGAAAACGAATCTTCTACAAGAAGCTTATAATAATGATTCTAAAAGAAGCTTTTTTTTTTGGAAAGATCATTTTAGACGCTTGCCTGTCGCTCCGCTCCTCTGACTAAAACAAAACTTGGACACGAGAGTAAATCTGATTAGCTACTCAATAAAGGAGCATTTTTCCAAGGTACAATTATTTATAGGTATAAACTCCTTTGTTTATGGATACATAGGGGAAATGAATGTAATGTCGGCTTAAATGCCCCTTATTTGGGCCCATAAATACATTCAGCAATCGACTAAATTTTCAATAGCAACCAAAAGTATTCATTAGTACCGTCTCAATGACGCGTTAATCTAGATAAAATTGATCAATAGCAGATTTTTAGCGATGGGTTCTTGACGGGTACTAATTCCTTATTTATGGATGCATATTATTTCGTTTATGGGTACAAATTCCCTTATATACGAGAAAAATTTCCATTATTTATGGGTGCATAACTCTCTATTTTAGGATACATGCTTCTTTATTTATGGACACATCTTCTTTTATTTATGGTACCGTCGGACGGGGCTTCTTTTTACACTTTTTTTTGTGCAAGTGAACTTTAAAAGGCCCGTATAAAATAAATAAAGCAGATAGGCAGTGGTGTACATCCATTAGGGATCCCTTTATGCAGTGTAATGATAAGCATATGAACGACCAAGAATGATTGTACACACTAAGAACTAACTAGTTTTACACGTGACGGAATCCATCTTTGACATAAAGGATCAGACGTAAACAATTATTTCATGTAAAATTAAGTGCTCCGAGACTGAAAAGTTCGTTACTCGACGAAAAGTACGTTTGATTGAGTTGGATTGCGCGTCTGTTATGACTCAATTTTATGTCAAAATTGACGCTCGTATATGTCAGTCTCAGAACACTTAATTTACATCAATTTTTCTAAGTGTGTAGAAAATGTTCGCCATATAACCATCAAACTGCAGTCGGAAATGTAAACAGAGGGACTTTTGCAGTTTGGCAAATTATATGGACAGAATCAATCGACATTATATACTCCATACAAAAACAAAGAACCTGTATACAACTCATAATCAGATCAGTAAAATTCCTGGTTAGACAAAACATTAAAAAAATCATGAATTTTTTGTTTGGTGGCGATTTAATGTGGACAACAACAGGCGCTTTAGACATCAGTGAATGATTAAATAGGTGTGGGACACGACTTGGACTTTTGCCTCACTATAGATAATTCAAGCTTCCGGATAACATATCAAAAGTCATGTACTCCTAAAATCATCTTCAAGAAAAACGATGCTTTCTTTTATTATTTCGCACAAAACGACGAGAGATTTTTTTTATCCGAAGTGAAAACTATTTTTGAAATTTTTATTTTCTCACTAGGTCAATTTCACCTTAAGTGCTCCCCACACGGCAGAAGTATTGTCATTGTATCCATCAATATTTTTAAGGCAACATTTTCAATAATAATGTTGGAAAGTCATCAATACAGGGCTGCTCCTCAATAAAGTTGTTATATCCAAGACAAATGACATCTTTTCTGACAATAAATGCCCAGGATCAGACCTCATCTGCTGCTATAGGGTCTGGTGGGGCAAGAGTGCTCCGTTAAAAATTGTACGTTCTATTAATACCAAATAGCGGATATTTGAATAAGTTTGTATACCGAATTGCAAGTTCATAATATAGAATTCATAAATCAACAATATAGTGCAAATCAAATCTCGTCAAAATTTGTTTAAGATTTTTTCAAAATATCATCTCAAATCTTTTTTTGAAACTGCAATGGGGCAAGAGTGCCAACCTCTATGAGGCAAAAGAGCCATGCGTCTTAAATTAAGTGTAATCGATTAATGCTTGTTTATAAACATTTATTTGTTTATTCGACAATCAATCAAATTGTAGACTACATATTAACATATTAAGTCCCAATATGTTCTAAGACTTCGCAGGGTTCTGAAATATATTTTTAATTCCATTGAGGGCATATTTAGGTCAATCATTTCACAATGATGATTATAAATAATCATCATCTGATTTACCGTAATTGATACGATGGCAATCTACTACGAACAAGTGTCGATTTCGTAATTATCGGGAAGTTGCATACAAATTTAATCTTGACAATAGTTCAGCTGAGTCAATGCGTTGCGAAATGATATTGTTTAACAATGAAATCTTTGCGTAATCCCGACGTTATTTCAATGTTTGAATGCTGATCAACAAGCAATGTGCTTCATATGATGGGAGAGGAACAGCCGTCTTAGCTAACTTACGTAGTGCATATAATAAAAACTGGTTTTGGATTGACTCTATTCGTTCTTCATGGTTTTTCATATATGGTAACCAAACAACGCCACAATATTCCAATATTGACCTCACATAAGCAACGTAAAGTGATTTTATTATATAAGGATCCGACCGATCGTTTTATAAAATAAAGCAACAGCTGTTATTGTTTTCTCAACTTAACTATTGAATTTGACAATATTATCCAAAACATAACAAATAAACCATGTTTACCAATTAAAATTAAATAAATTTTGGTGATATTTTATGTAGCTGGTTTTGCCAAATTTGGTTAAAACAAGCTTACAAAAGAGTTAAATGCCCAATGAAGCAGCAATGTAGGGGTGGCACTCTGGCTCCGTGTGAAGTTTATTTTAAAGAAGTTGATTGTTGAACAATTATAAGCTATTCATTGTTTTTACTGTTTCAATTAATCGTTTAGAGTGATGCCTCCATGCAGGAATTGATGAAAACTTATTTGGATATTCTTTATTTTATCATGTCTGATTCTTATAAATAATGTTGATTTTCGACGCATCACCACAATATGATTTTTTTGCAATTTTTGTAAGACTTTAATTTGAATAGAACTTTCTATAATGCTCCATAGAAACACCATCCATAGTTGCATGGATGAGCTAGCATTGAATATATGTTTATTTTCAAAATTATTGGGGGTGGCACTCTTGCCCCATATAGCACTCTTACTCCACCTGACCCTAGTCAATGATCAGGGGAAAATATGAGGAAATATTGAAACTCGCAATAAACAACTTTTTAGATGATACGTCAATATGAATATCAATATTTTCGTCGTTAATATTTGCATCAATATGATTGTCAATACTTTTGAGTTCTAACAATATTTTTGCCCCTGTGCTGCCTGCTTTAAAGGCCTACACTTGTAAACCATCAAATGATTTTTGGTTTTACCAAGTTAAGGAAGATTAAATTTTTTGAAATAATTTAGAATCAAATCAACCCCAAGGCACAAAAAATATTTAAAAAGCTTAAAATCCATACTAGTCTGCAAAATTTACTATCTGGATGAATATTATATTGATTTAAAATTGAAATAAACTTTAGTAGAAATTTAAGGAATGTGTTCACATAACTCATAATCTACATATATATATATATGATTAATGATCCTAATAGTAGGCCGATTCATACATTTCAAAATACACATTTTTGATATATTTTTTCTCGAGAAATCAATAACGACTATTCAGTTTATAAAAGGGACACCAACAATTTACCGTAACTTGAAAAGAACACTACACAGGCGTATATACAGCTCACCTCACTCGAGTGCAATACAAACGCACCATCACCAGCTTCGATAGACGGACCACTTGAATTATTGAAGTGAAAATTATCGTAGAGAAGCGTAAGGAGAAATTATGTAAAACGCACCAACGGGGTAATATGACAAACAGCAATTTTTCGTATTCTTTTAAAACTAAATTGAATGTTTTATCATACAGAACTGCTATGTGGGTTGCTAATCTATCTTTGGTGAAATTTCCATACATATTACGACTTAACAGTACTTGAAAAATGGAAAAAAAAAGGGCGTATCACACTCAGTTTTTCTACTGAATAACTGGGGTGAGTTGCCGTGGTGAGGATGTCTAATGTTGCTTCAATGCATACATACATCGTTTTCAATAGCTGTAATATGCTGTTTGATATAACGGAACGTCAACGACAGTGCTCCAAGGTGCTCTACAATGATATGGATGCACAATTACGCTGATATTCTTATCACCAAAGAGAGCGAGTGAAAAATGATCATCAGAGAGCTGTCCACTCTTATTCACTCATTTTCTCTTCAGTGGATCCGAAGAGAATCTTCGCAGATATGATGAGTCATTTACCCAGTGAGTGTGAATTTCTCACCCAAGTGCAATATTTTTGAGTATTTAGCATACCCAGTTTGTATGTTTCACCGCATGAACAAATCTTGTAATATGTTCATCGGAAGGATTTGTTAAATAATTATGCATCTTTTATGTTAGTCAAATTTTCGAACAAAGTTCCTGCGACAAGAAAATTATCTCATGAAGATTTTGTAGCAAAATATTAATTCTGGAAAAACATGCTTGTACTCTACAGCCGATTGTAAGAACTGCTTTACATTTGTTGTGAGAAAATATGTAGAGGATGTTAGAAATCCAGCCTTACAAATGTTTGTTTGGCAATTATCAGAATTTATGATTACTCGGGACGTTTTCAAATACTTTTGATTCGAGAAAAAAGAAATCAAAATATACAAATTTGTTAAATTGTGTATTGTACAATACAGATGTGGAAAATATACAATGTTGGTTGAAGGATTAATGATTGAAATGGTATCCTTTCATTCAGAGTTAATGGTTAGTAAAATTGATTTAATGCTTTATGAACAAACTTTTGTTTGCTTACCTTTAGGAACGCAAAACTGTTATTCGAAATACTGCATGAATAAAAATTATTATCTAGTTGTTCATAAATATAAAAATGATGCCCTACACGTTAGTTAGTATATGCAAATAGATCATTCGATGGAGACTCCTGGTCAATACTTTGCTTAGCTTTGAATTAGACTTACAATACATATGGGGGCAGGCAATAAATTCGTATGCATTTAAGGGGATATTTTGAATCTTCTTACGATTTCTTATAAACGAGGGAGAGTCTCAGAAATATTTTGAGTAACCACGAAGGAATCAATTTTAGTTATTTTGAATATTCGATGATCTTACTAACGGGAAGGGATGATTTATTTCACTATGTTCTGATTTTTGTTTTTAATATCTTGTGTTCCTGTAAAAGAAAAATGATCTAATCTCTTACGATGCTAAAACAAATATGGTGGTGAATAAATGTTCTGACTACAACGTATTCGCTCCAAACGGTATACTTTATTTATTGATTTTCTCGATACTATCAAGACGTAGGCAATGTCTTTGAATCGGTCGTTATTCTTTCTTAAGACTGCCATCTGCACATGTCAATCATGCGTGTTTTGTGTTCCGTTCTGCACGGAAAATAATTCTACTCTACTGCACATTACACCGATATGATACGAGGTACACATAGAAGAAGCAGCTTATCCAGTACTCACCTATCGTTTGCTGAACCGGCTGGTTTCAGACTTCTGAACGCTTTTAACCACTTAGTCTTCATTGAGGAAGAACTAGAAGAAGACATTTTACGTTCACCGCGAGGTGAACCAGGATCTATTCTACCCAAAAACAACTCTTTCTGTAACGAGAAGAAACGGTGGGAACGGAAAGAGAGAAGAAAAGGAAGATTTGAAAACAACGTTTCAACTACTTCTAAGAAAACTATAATCGATTAGATATAAGGTCCTATACGAAATGTATGTGTAGTGTTTTGATGTGAACTATTCTACGACTAAGTAGAAGCTGCTATTGCTAGTTTTCTATATCGTCTTATTCTGGGTTTCCTCTAGTGTGACAGGGGAGAAAGACGAAAGAATTGAAAAGAACCAAAATCAAGCGACCGGTTGGGTAAATCTATACGCTATGACTATTTTCCATTATTTTCCTGAATGCATATAGGTTGGTATAATAAAGTGATTGCACTATGAGCACTACAATAGTATCTGGTTACGTAAATAAAATTACATTCAAACAGCACACTTTCTATTCGGATAGCAAAATTTGCACCACATTGCAGAGCACTGCAGCTGTCCATTCATTGGTTGCACTGATTCATTTTATGTTTGGGGGTTGAATGCACATAGTAATATCTTATGTCGTTTTGCCAACATGTGGCTCAATGTCTAAACAATTCTGCTTGTATATATGCCAATAATCTTTGGAAAGATCAAATGTGAACAACTGAATGAATCACGTTGTCAATTCGTATTCCTGGGGGCAGAGCTGGCGTTGTGGTTAGCTTTCACACAGAATGTGACGAGTTAAATGATCTTAAAAGTTTTAAAGAGACTGTACTAAACAAACAAACAAAGATTGTACTCTGGAGCACACATCTCTACTAGTGCTCCATGGTACTTATCTGAAACATGCAAGGCCGGTCAATCTCACTCAAATTCGAATTCGGTTTACTAAAACTCGCAAAAACTACGGTTACTCATAGCCTGAGAAAAGTGATCCTCGAATATGAGAAAATGTATCTCATATTTGTGCAGAAAACCGAGGGAAATTTTACTCAGTCCATGAGTGACCGCGATGTGAACTAGAGTAAACGAAACAAGCCTGATTAAACTGCCTTGTAGCATTTGTTGAAATGGATTAAAGTTAATACTCAAGATTTCGAATAAACGAATAACATTGTCAGTCATTAAAAAGATACTATAAAAATAAGTTTTATGAGATAGTCAAGAATAAATTATTAAGAACATGATTGGTGGAAGCCTACCATTTTGTATTATGACGAGCAATGATTTTGCGGTGTTATTAAACTTTTTACAATGATGATAATCACCGATTTTCTGATTCGTGACCCAATCAAAATGATCACTCACGAATAATAAAATCACAGATTGTGACTCTCGAGAAAATCCACGCCAAGTAGCGAAAAAATGAACGAATTTCAAATTTAACCTCTCAGAATTCCATGATCGCTAGGTACAATAAACCATATTTGTGTTGGAATACGATCATTTTGGATGCATCACGTTGCACCGGGCACCTACAAAGGCATCAAAAGTCATAGAAACGTAAACTCTATTTTGAAAATCATGATGTTGTTCTGGTAAACGTGATTAAAGTTCATGAGTTGTTCTTAATATTGTAAACCTGTTCTCGAAAATGAGAACTGTTTCGTCACATATTGCTGGACCTTATTAATGAATCACTGCAAACTGGGCACGTGCCACTGGTGTGGGAAGCATCCAGCGGAACGGCAGCGGAAAATTCCGATCAGATTAAACCTGCTTGTTGGATAGAAAACTTGTTAAAACCAAACCGACTTCAATTAGACATCTTGATGTCACTTGTGCCAATTGTCAAACTTGCCACTTCCATTCCGCTTCCACCCACATTGCGTTTGAGCCTTTAGTTGTTCCCATACAAAAAGTGGGTGGAACGATTAAAGCCAAAGTGTTTCTTCCCATTAATATCCTGCTCACATTAGTGAATATTTTAAAAATGTTGCTAAGCCGTTGGTGTATGTAAATAGTAACTCTTTGTTGATACCAAACGAATTGGGATATCGGAGAGGTTGTTTTTGTTAAACCACGTTGAATTTGATGTAAGCAAAATGGAAAGTAAAGATACGATTTAGGCCCTCATTGTTAAGAATAATCAAGCGCTTTGGAATAACGAGTAGTGCATATAAATGTGTTGAAAGCTATTTGTCTGACAGTCCTCATCGAACTATATTTAAATAATTCTTTTTCCAGTACCATGGGGAATAACCTTGGTGTGCCCTAGGAAAGTGTATTAGGGCCCCTTTTTTATGTATTATGTATATTAATGACATGCCACGTGTTTTCTGTTTTGTGACATAGATGCTTTTGCAGATGATGCTGTGTTATTCATTGCAGCGAAATATTTAGACGATGCCTTTTCAGACTAGAATGAAGATTTGTGTGCTGATGTTACTGAAAATTACAATAGCATCAGATTGCGGGGTTTTAAGGGTTGTAAGTAGCTGGTTGAAGTACATGCAAGTGAAATTGAATACAAGTAACACTAAATTCATGGTAATTTCACGGAATCTAGTAAATAATGTTGTAATTGATGATGAGACTTTTGATCACGTTCGGAAGATTACATATTTCGGCGTGATTGATGATAAACTTAAGATAAAATTTCATATGACAATGTCATCAAGAAAATGGCCAGAAGTATGAAATTCTATGTTGATTGAAACATTATTTAACTGTTTGCTGTAAAATACAGCTATTCAAATTTATCTTCTCTGGTTTATCTTGACATTTTGAAATGCAGAAATTTGAAAGATATGTGTCATTCAGCTGAAACTTCTTTCCGTTTGTCGACTTTCAGGTAAATTATTTTTAAGTAAACGGACTTTCAGTTAGCAATCGTTGAAATGCCAGAAATTATATTTTCATCAACTTTGCTAACAAAATCTACTTTTTATTTGTTGATAAAAAAAAGTTAGTTTTCTGAAATACAATCGTACCTCGAGGAAAACTAACGGTGCATGTTCCAAAATATGCGAAAGATAAAATTTTGAATGTCTTCTACACACACTTGAACGCCAAAATGGACGCATTCATCAGAAAACAACTAAGTTCATGAATTATCACTTTTAAAGCACTGTGCAAAGACTTCATTTTCATTCCGAAGGAGGCTATAGTAAGTTATTTTTCGCATTTCCATTATTTTTAATGTTAAATTATACCGTTTACTACATTGTGGCACACTAGTTTTACATTGGAAGTTAGTAGGAGTATTTCAACTAATAGCACATAGCTACCTCTCAAGGACCAAAGAATGAATATATAATCATACCATTAGGGCAGACTGGACGCACTAACTTCCCCTATTTTTCTAGAAATTCAAATACGGTTTTTTGGAAGGTTGCCACAAACCTTTGACTAGAAGGAAGGTGGTGTAAAAAACGTTTATTTTTGAGAGCATTTCTTATTTTCCCTTCCCTAGGATTTTTTCTAACAGAATAAACATAATTACAGTCACTCCAGTATTATGGGCCAGCTAGTCCCTATTATGGGTCAGTCAGTTTTGCGTGTTTTGCGTGGGTGGTCCATAATACTGTGGTGACTTTACTCCATTAACATCGTACCAAGTTTTCACCTCAAAGCTTGAAATAAGTTGAATAAATTATTATCATTGCACTTTTTCATTTGATATTTTGTTCAGTTCACTTTGTAGTTGAAACTCAGTTAGCCAAAGTTTTATCCCCTAAGGATTAGATGCATATAATCCTGATATATGAGAGTTAAAAAAATATGAAATTCTGTATGAGGAGACAAGAACTTTCACATATTCAATCCCGAGATATGTGTGAACATTAATATTAAAATTCATATGACAAATTCCAGAAAAACGTAGTTTTAGGAATGTATATAACAGGTCAGAGGTTTGAGAGTACAGTCAACTCTCCATTTAATAATGTTCTATATCTCAATGATTTGAGCAGTACCTTCAAATTCCCATACAACCTGTTTCCGATGATTCTCTATGTCATTGGTCCCTAGAAAATATTCGGGATCAAATTACTCTCCATATGTCCATGAAACATTTAGTTCACCATTTCTTTTACGTTTGATGTAAGCGATCGAGTTTTGCTTTGGATACGGGATAAACAAATACCCGAGACATGAAACTCTGGAATTGTACTAGTAGGCAAATTACTTATCTCGATGGTCCATTGAATATCGGGAAATGAAAAGTTGACTGTATTTAAAGAAAATCATATCAAAGGTGCCTGAGTCCATTCTATCTTAAAAATGTATTTTATCAAAAGGGGATGAAGTCACCAATTAAAAAATGAGTTTTTAGACATCTTTCAAGAAAAACAAACTTATTTAATTGCTTATCACTTTGGAGCATTTAGAGTATTTAAAATGTTACATAAGATATTTCGCTGGTAGGTAGCCTGTGGAAAAACCGCATAAAGTTCAAATAAAAATAGGGGATCAAGTGTGTCCACTCTCCCCTACTGAGTATTCACAAGTAAATATGGATTTCAATTGCGGTCACCTTCCAATGGAAAGAAGACGTACTGCATCATGTCAATTAATTTTTTAGCGGCTGTAATGTTAGTCCATGTAGTATGCAGCACGTTACGTTCTAGTGTTTCAAACTCATTTAAAATTCATAGAAAAGTGGCGAGGCATTCAAGTGCATCAGGATGCTGGAAACCATTTTTTTTTAAGCTGCTGCATTTTCTCTATTTACCGTTTGTACATACCTGCTAACGAGTTTGTCGCTTGACCCTTCAAGCCCAACCGTTTCTAAAAAAACTGACAGAAGATGTCGAAAAATCAAATCAGATTTTCCATTAACACGTACTTCCCCGACCCTTTTGGTAAATAAAAATGAAATAAAATGATTTTGATACCATTTCGTCAATTCTCAACGGAATATGATGAAATAGCTTTATTCGATCATTTATCTGTGCTTGTTTTTTGCTCGTGTATGTTTTAAGTATAATAATTAATTCGTTTGTAATTTATTTAACAATATGTTGGCACCAGGTTTTTTCAGTTGCTCTTTCGGGTTAAATAAATTAAATTTTAATATTTCAAAATAAAAGTGTACATTTCCGTAAGAACTTGATGA